CGATCACTCCACTGTTGGTCTGGCTCTGTCAGTCAGCTCAGAGTAGGTCAGGCAGCCACCTCTTGCTCGCACTCACAAGCAAATTAAACATAAATTTAATCTTATACAGAAGCCAGAAAATGAGGGATAATTAGTTTTGATCCGTGGGCAAGGTAGCTCCAAGTCCCAAAATCAGGAGCTCTTCACTAATCTAGATAAAGTGAGTGCATAATATAGTCTGTCTCGAAAGTATTTTTGCAACTCTATGCTTTGAATTTTTAGTCATCTTTGAGTGACAAAGACTTTATTATTTATATTAACTTGATTATCGTTTTTAAGGATTAACGTTACTTCACGCATTGCTGTCTTGAGGATGAAGGTTTTGCCTGCTATTTTTTATCAAATGACTGTTTCATTTCGTAAATGTATACTCTAATAGGTGGATATCTAGGTTTAAAGCCTATCGTCTACACATAGGATTATTAAGGCATCGTTTAACCTCTTCAACAAAAGTCAAAGGCACTGTAAACTCTAAAACAGAAGTTAAAGTAAACTCTCATTGTATGTACACTGAGAGACATACCTCTCTCTCAGTGTATTTAACCTGTTTATTCTGAAACTTCATATTGCTTTATTGTTAAGGTGCCATCTCTTAAATGTATTTATATATTATACCTTCCTAATATGTACATGGAAATGAAAAGTCATTACATGAAAATCTTACAGGAACGGCGTCGAATAATGTTACGGAATATTTTCTTTGTAACAAAGTGAACTGATGACCGAGCCTTCAACACTCACTGTGTTGAATGACGACAGGGGGTCTCACTCCTTACACAGATGTATTAATAATATTAATGTGCTTACAAATAATTTCAATAGTTCGCAGAAAATCCTATTTTTATGTGATCACCTATTAGTGGATAGGAATTTAAGGCACGCGATATTTAACTGACTTGACTCACAAAGCTTTTCTTGTTTATAGAATTTTGACAGCTAGCATTTTATAAAAAAAAATATTCTGTATAAATCATTTCTGTAACAGATCAGAAGGTGTCTGAACTGTGTGAAGGATGAAAATATTAGAAGTCCTAGCAAGTGGTTTCTACCTTTTGTTGGCTGTTATCCAAATTCTGATAGCGGGGCTTCCTCTGCCACCCACGCCTGCACGATGTAACGTTTCTAGCTATGTGACCCACGCCTTAACGCAGTAGATGTGTTTGTGACCATCCTCTCCATACGGTAGTTGTGTGGGTGATCCACGCCTTAACATAGAAGTGGTAGTGTAGGTGACCCACTCCACAAGGTGGTGGTGTATGTAGGTGAATCACGTTTTTACATAGTAGTGGTGTTAGCTAGGTGACCCAGGCCTTGAAACGAGTCTCTTTTGAAAAACTACAAAATAAACAGGTATCAAATAAGAAGCAAGTTTAATAATCTTGCTTCACGATAATGAATAAATGGCAGGAGCAATTTAGGGCTTAAGTTCCCAGAACTGGTTTTTGCTTGAACTGTTTAAGACAGGATGCATTCAACGATTTCTTTCGATTTTTATAATTGCAATGAAGTGTCGTGTCATATTAGATCTCAACGAGCTGATCTTGCAGCTTATTTATTCATGAAATTCCTTTCAGAAAATGCTTTGTGCCGACACTGAGCTAGAAGCTCACCCAACTATACTGGGTCACATTCACGGGAATTTAACGACAATTCTATAATTAATTCGTTTAGTCAGATTACACACAAAGGTGTTTGGGTGTGTCCGAATGAAACAGCTTTGTTAATGATAGCCACAGCAGCAGCATTAACAACAACAATAACAAAAATAACAGCAATAAAAATAACAATGGCAACAACAACAGTAATAAAATTAACAACAACAACAGTTTGTCTTTAAGAAGGAAAACTCACGACTGGGAAATATGTGGTTTTCCTTTCCTCCAGTTCGCACTTCGTTAACGTCAAAATACCCTTGCATGCTGTCAGTCTCTCTGATGACTCAAGAAATTAATTAGTATTCAGGAAGAAGCACTATACACAGAAGGACCACACGGCAAGAGAGAAATGGAAGGAAATCAGGTTTGATTTAAGGAAGGGGAGAATAGCACCATTTCCTCGGATCCAGAGAACTTCATCATCATCAAAACACCCCCCCCCTCCTCCGAGCCTTAAAGGGAGCGTAACTAATGTCTTAGAAATCATAAATACTGTAAGTTGAAATATCAAAGATGTTTATGTCGGCATTGAGATGCATACGGTAGGATGCTTGCAGTATCCACACAGAATCAGAGAATCTTGGAGCTAGAGAATAATTTGTCTCCAACAAGAATAATTCAGCCTAGTCGCACACTAACGTCCTTCGATCAAACACATTTTATATCTGTTTTAGAGTTAATGTAAATTTTCACTGGATAAATATTTCTGAAGTACTGAACAGTGTCGATAAGCTTAGGGAAAGCAGGATTCTCCCACTGGAGACAGTGAAAAAATATTATTTTCCGGGTTATTTCCTTTTTATCAAGCACCTACAACTACTGTTGTACTCCTTATTGACGAGGTACATCAAATCAGATATTAATGAAGATCACTGCATATTAACATTCCTTTTCTCTTAATAAAAATAATTAGTAATTTTAAAAAGTCTTCTTCAGTAGTGGCGGTGAGCAACGGCCGGCAGAGAGGGAATTAAAATCAGCCAGTTCATCCAGTTAAAAACAAAACTGCGCACTTGAGACACATGCAGTTTGATGTCCAATGTCATGGATAAGCACATGCATTCTAACTTTGTCTAACTGACAAAGAAATCAGCTCTATCTTTTTGACTAAGTCAGGAATATCATGTCGATATCTGCTCGGCTGAAATTCCTCACCAATAGTGTGTGGTCACTCCTTTTTTTTTTTTTCTTCTTTTTGCTGTCCTCCAAGCCACGAAATAAGATGTTAGTGTTGCTTGTTGGACGAAGTAGACTGCCATATTAGTCGAGCATCCCAGTTACTATCGCTTGATTTGTTGTCACTCTTTGGGAATTTTGTTTTGTTTTTCTCTTAACCAGAGAAGCATGGCGTTTTCACTCGGAATGTTGCTTGAGTTTGTTCTCCTTGAATGATTCATTGCTCAAGACTTTCCCACTATGAAAACATTGCGGTTTGACTTCTCCATAATCGAAATGAAACAGTGGAGCTTTGCTTCTCTATATTCAAATAATATTATGGTCCAAATGAAGTCTACCGCTTTGTTCTAATTGCAGCTAAATGACGGTAAGATATGAGAGGCCTCAAAGAAGTAATACACTACAGTACACTATATCTGAGTCATGGAGTGACTTTGACTTTGTCTTATTCAAGGCCGCCAAGAAAGCTTACTTCATACTTCTCACAGTGACTCGGATTTTTTAAAAAATTCCTTACTACATAACGAAGTATATATTCTATGTAACACAATAAACTCAGTGAAAAAAAATAAATATTTTAGGTAGATAGGGCAAGTCTGAATTTGAAACTGAAATAATTGCGCTTACAATGGTAAAAGCATTTTACATCTGTCAAATTTCAATTGGCATAAAAATGAAAATGACATTAGCTCCCTTAAGTACGGCAGAGTATACACACATACACACTCAGAAAATGTGTAAAGAATTAAAAAGCACACTATCGTGACTGGAACAATAAATGTTTCTTTGTATATAAACTATGAAAGTTTACTTTAATCCCTATATGATTCAAATGAAGAATTTTATAAATATAGTATTTTTAACAGTGTAGTATAAATAACACAGTATTGTATAAAGAATTAATTATGATTTACACGAACGATGTTAATTTATTCAATAATAATGATAATAATAATAATAATAATAATAATAATAATAATAATAATAATAATAATAATAATAATAATAATAATAATAATAATAAATATAAGATACCTGAGCTACGTGCTCGACATTTGCACATTATTCATTCCGACAGCAATATAAAAACTTGCCAAGATATTTATACATTTACAACATGGGGCCTCTAATGTAACCTCACTCAGCCTGATCTCCTCATGTATGGAATTAACCTGAAAGATTCATGCATGAGGCATCCTAGATGGAGGAACACAAAGTTTTCCATGAATAATAATATATATAAATGTCTTGTCCTTTCTCGTGAAATTGGGCAGTGTTGGCATTTGGGAGACGATGATAATATATACAGAATACCAAGCTTCAACCCTGAAGAGTTGACTTTCCTAATATTTGACGAATATTTCCGAAGACGATTCTATGGGTGACATTTCCAATGGTGAACGAGACCTTCATCTTAAATTTTATTACAGAGAAATACTGATGTGTTTTATTGTAAATATTATTAAATGATTGTGTTTATCAAGCAGTTTTTTTTATGAAACCTTGCAGTCTGAAAACTATTTATAATACCTGTCTAAATTTCTAGAGTAGTAAGTACATTTTTATATTATATCTGAAATTTTCATCATGTGAAAAGATAGATATTGCTTTGATGATCAAATTTATTTGTTTTGCATATGATGCTCAATATACAATAGTTAATATAATAAATACATGAAGGCAATAGGTGATAAGAGGATTTACATAATGCATTTTAATGTATCATTTTTACTGAGGACTGGTGTAAGTAAGGGAAGGTCCATTGGACTCAGAGCGGGCACGAGCAGCGTCTTCCTCAGCAGCGAAGGCGATCTGCCGCAGTACAAACAAAGGGACTGGGTGGGGGAACTCAGGAGCCACTGGAAGAAAGTCGGATTCAGGCTGGTAGCCGTTTGCATTCGCTACATATTTCATCTTCACAAGAGAACCATCGGGAGCGGTGTACCTGCGACAAGAAATAATTCTGCTCAGAAGCTGTTTTCATTATAAAACATATAGGTCGTTATGAATAATGTTACAATACCGTTGTTTGAACAATACGCAAATAACCCGCATTGAAAAATTATGACGACTGAGAATTGTCAATAGTCAGACCGAAACGTCTTAGGTTTCCCTCTCACAAGTGCGAGTTTTTTATTTATGAATCTTTATACTATTTTTTCATTGGTAAAAAGAAATCATTAGATTTTCTACATTTAATCTGATTAATTTTAGATCATCATTTGCTTCAACGTTCAGAAAGACCGTTTGCAAGTTTTTCAAAAGAAACTTTAAAGAATTAGAAGAAGAAAATCACAGATTTTGCGTGAGAACCAGAGGAAAAGGAACACAAAGGCTGTGACAGAATGAGGTAAATCTTGCTATTCAAAACTACTTACGAGTATTGCCCAGCAGCGCTAATTGCTTTAGTCTCTCCTTCCGGAGAGCCCGACTGAGACAGGATAATGCCATTGCCAGTCTCAACTTCGACGTTATATCTTCCGTCGTCTTCACGAACACGTTCATCCTTCAGAATAAGTGCTTGCTTATTGGCTTCGATTTCGGAGGCAGACAGGGTGCTCTGGGGTTCTGGGGCATTATACTTGGGAGCAGCCAGAGCCATGCAGGCTAGCACAGCAAGTATAACCTGGCGAGAAAAGATAATTTTACAGTAGGAGTATGTGTGAAAAGACTGATTGTGGATGAACAAGACATGCTAAAACTAAACCTAAGCTTCTAAAAAAAATACGACTTAATGCTGACAGTGTCATTATGTGATATACCAATATCTCTTAATGACACTCCCAATTAGCGTCAGCAGTTTACCATTAACTAAACAGAAGCGAAAGAACAGCTATGCACAAAAAAAGTGTCATCCAGCTGAGCAAAGTGTGCATCAGCCATTCATATCATATAAGCAGAAATTAAAAATGGTTTTAAATAATTGGGAGTGTCATTACTATACTATGATAATGGCCAAATTTTGCATATTATGACTACGTTCAGAGAAAGGGAAAAAATATAAACACTACCTTATTAGGTAGCGTTCCGCATAACATTTAGACATAATGTATGGACTATCAGCTCCTTTATATAATAATCGTGGGATATAATTTCTTATTCATCCTGGACAGTGGAACTGGAACTATAGTCTAACGTGAAGTGAAAGTCACCTAAGCAAAAGAAGGCGAGCAGTCAGTATATAGCGCCAGTTGACAATAAACCACATTATAAAATGAAGTGGACAGTAAATAGTTTATAATGGTGTTTGGCACCCATCTGAAGTGCATATGGAGAGTGCACGCAGATAATGGAGGGTCGACTGCATTAGTTGTCAACAGTGGGCAGTCTCTGCATTGTATTAAGGATGAGGAATTTTGTTGATGCTCATTGTCGACCCACTGAATATGGGTCATCAGTTCGTGCCCTCAAAATGCTTTCTTCTTTAAATTATTGAATTTACCCAGTACTGAAATTTCTGTTTGTATTATTAAAAACACTGAATCATACGAATAAATGTTTCCTGGCAGAGGAATTGTCATTAAATTGGGGCAACAGTTAGGCCTATGCCAATCCAATGACACGACACGTTTTAATAAAAGTGGAGCAGATTTCGTATGCATTTTTAACGTTTTTTTGTGATAAGCTGTTTTTTGTTTTGCAATGATTTGTGATAACATAATTAAGTGCAGCGCATAAAAATGAGAAAACAAACAGTGAGAGATATTGTAGAGTTTACTGTAGTAGTTATTAACTATGGTTCGTCAACTATAGGGCATGATGAAAACAGACATTCATATTATGCAGAAGGAGCACCAGCCATACAATAAAGTATCACAGAATAATTGTTTATACGGAAGTGAAATAAGCAGTTAACGTCTTAGTGTACAAACATGACAAAGAACACCCAGTCACTCCTTTGTTGAGTGGCTAACCACATTACAATGGTTGAGAGTGGCTAGTTGCATTACACAGGCCAAGAGTAACCATCCACACTCGAGGCTAAAACTGGTCGGCTACACAGCAGGCCATGAGTGGCAAATAACACTACACCACAGTTAAAACTTTCCTATCTTTAAGCACGTCCTGAGAAGTAAAAACAACTCACAAACTTCATGTTGGTTGGTGTTGTGGTGGTCGACTGGTGCCAGACACTGAGGTGGCAGATCTTTTATAGTGGGGAGCCTGGAGCGGTGCCTAGTCAGCTCACCCGGGAGGGAACGCCCTTGGCAGATACCTCATGCCCTTCACTCCTGCCCTACATCCTCACTTGTCCATCTGGACGTCCAGTAAATTACCTCGACATGTCCTTGTGATCCTGTGGGACATGTGACCCGCTCGCCGACACTCGCTCTGTTTATCATCTCGAGAAGCTGGTTGCCTTTCTTCTCATCAGTCGAACACATCTTGCAAAAACATATCCCCACATAGTGCACAAAGACACTGCCGCACAAATATATTAGTACACTGATTGATATGTAATTAGATATCGCCGAATTAATGAGAAAAAGAACTTTCACCTGCGACAGAAACTCTAGGTGTGACATTTATTGATGAGATATATCTACAAGCACAAGAGCCCTGGTAGCCTTAAATCTCTACAAGTACAAGCACCAGACTTGGCCAGGCACTCTTAACAAAAATTATCTAAAAATGTTTATTTGGTAGCTTGGACTGAATAAAAACATGTATGTAGAATTAAAGAAGCAAACAAATTATTTTCATTTAACAGATTGTTCGTTTCGTTGAACTAGTACATACATTGTTAAGTCGAAAATCTGAGATGCTTTTGTAATCCTGAAGCAATTACTATCACAACATTTGGGAAGAAAATAAAAACAAGAATTAGAAGCTGTTAACAACCACAACATCAAGATAATCACGAATAATACTGTTGATTTTCATGTAATTATTATTTTTTAGTATTAGTATTGTTATTATTGTTAATGTTGTTGATATTTTTTTTTTATGAATTCGGCAGTTTCAAACCATGACAGGGTGATTTATCACAGTAAGTAAATGAAGAAAACACATTCACAAACACTTAACTGCTAGTTATTTTTCCAGAAGAGTAGAGAAAGAGCGGCACACTATTGACCTTCTTGAGAAACTGACTGAACACATGAATTCGGCTAACCGGACTTCCTGGGTATTTTAATAGACCTTGCCTAGGTCAAATTCCATATACGACAAAACAACTCCGAAAGAACATTTTCACGCATGCTTGCTAAATTCCTTTCCTCTCAATACCTTTTTTACACTCTCCTGCCGAAGACTCTACATCTCTTCCAGTCATCCTTGAGATGTCATCTACTCTATGCCGAAACACTTTCTTCAGTTTTATTTTTTCAATACTGATATCATTCATGACATTATTATTATTATTATTATTATTATTATTATTATTATTATTATTATTATTATTATTATTATTATTACTAGTACTAGTTGCATCAGCAGCAGTATTACTAGTAGTAGTAGAAGTAGTTGTAGTATTTGAAAACAATGTATGTAGTAGTAGTATTTTTGCAATCATAACCATCATAATCATCATTATCATCATTATCATCATCATCACTGTCATCGCCAGTCGAATGGTGCACACTATTCTTATATTTTTGCGTTCTATCATTTCTAGTCTTGAATTCATGCATGTTATATTCTACCATCCCCTAATTTTCTGAATTCCTTCTCTATCCTTACACTAAAACATTTTTGTCTTCTTGGAGGGGCACTGAGTTCCATGTCTTCCTTCGTTTTTGTTCCTTACATTCAAAAAGTTCTTTTATTCTTTCGAAATTCCTCAGTATATTTTACTTTATGATAATTTCTTTACTGAATTATCTCATCTCCTGGGTCGAGAGGTTTGGTTTCTTAGTCTTTTGTCTAAGTTCCCATTTTTGGCTGGAAAATTAATCTGGTGGTACACATTTGCACATTCTAGTATTTCTTTGTACCTGATCAGTTGGAACTCCATGGTAATGCCACACTTATTCTTGAGAATCTGCCTGATTAATTTCATGTGCAGTTTCCTAGATGGGATCCTTATATCTGCATACATTCCTCATGCTTTTCTGTTCATCTGTGCCTCTAGGGATTGTGGGCTCAGTGTCATGGGCTCCCTTTGGCAATTTTCATTGTATGACTTGGCTTAAATTCTGCCCCTTTTAACTGATACCATGCTTCTGACCACTTCTTCCAAGTGTCATCCTTATTATTTTTGCCCACGTTAGACTTAAACTCTAACAGTTAATTGAAAACCGATTCAATATCCTTATCCAAATCTTCCTATTTTGTGACTATCCCTATCAAATTTGCCTTGTCTTCAGACACTGACCTAAATAAATATTTTCTCTTGTTAGGTCATCCATATACGCATGAAATAGGATAGGTTCACGTATTGGTCCAGGTGATTCATTCTCCTCCCTGGTGAGACCTATTACTCAAGTGCTCGCTTATCAGAAGAAATTATTTTCCTGTTAAATTCTCCCTTATCAACCGAAATGCCTTTCCTGTCACACCTCCCTGGTTATTCTATCATGTCAAAAAAAAGTCTGCTCTAAATTTAGAATAGTCGCAGAGACCTGTCATTGTACTATTATGCATAGTACTCAGCCACCTATGCTTATCCAGTTAGACTTTAGCCACCTTGTCGTTCAATAATATTACGGTACGATATCGGGGTTTGCCATTTCTAAACCTGTACTGGTGTTAATTAAAAAAAACATTCGTTTCATCCAAGTGCTTTTATAATTTTTTATTACTGTTTCCTGCATTATGTTTCTCAGAATGCACGTTAGAAATAATAGTATGATATTCAGGTCCTTCTTTCTGTCTCTTTTTTTTCCTCTTAAGCTTGCTACGATGTTGGCCATCCTCCAACTGTTTGTAGCTCACCCCTTTCCAGTTTCTTGATGTGTATTAGTGAAAGTGGCCCGTTTAGGGCTTCGGCTCCATCAGCACCCATGGTGAGATCCAGTTTAGTCCATGGCCTTTGAATAAAGAAATTCTTTTAAGTATGCTGTTTCTTCTTCCCCCTTATTTTGAAGTTTTAAAGTACAGCGTCATTTGAAGTTATTGCAATATCGGGTAATTGTCTCTAGTCATGTGTGTAATTTCTTGGAATATTTTATCGAGTTCTTCACATACTTCGTCGCTGCCAGTCCATGTGCGCAAGCGCACTGTAGATACACACACACACACCCCCCCCATCACACACATACACACACACAACCGCACACACACACCACACACACACCACCACACACACACACACACACACACACACACACACACACACACACACACACACACACCACACGCACACACACACACACACAACACACCACACACACACACACACACACACACACACACAATGATCGTGAAGTTAATGAGAAGAGTTCAGTCGATCGAAGACCAGGCAGAACTACAAAGGGATCTGGATAGGCTGCAGACCTGGTCCAGCAACTGGCTCCTGGAGTTCAATCCCCAAGTGCAAAGTCATGAGGATTGGGGAAAGGGCAAGAAGACGATGGAGTACGTTAGGGGGCCAGAGACACAAACATCACTCAAGGAAAAAGATCTTGGGTGGTAACCCAGGACACATCCTGACGCACTCAACCAAATAACTGCTGCGATTGGGCGTGGCAAACTCAAACAGCATCCGACATCTTAATAGATCTCAGACCTGTAACCGGTACGTTAGGCCCATATGGAGTATGCGGCACCAGTTGGACCACACTAGCCAAGCCAGTAAAGAATACGAAAGTGCAAAGTTTGCAAAAGATGGTCCCAGAGTTAAGAGGTATGTCCTATGAGGAGAGTTAGGAATCAACCTGACGACACTGGAGGACAGAAGATAGGGGACATGATAGCGATTACAAAAACTAGAGGAATGACAAGGGACAAAACAGTATGTTCAGAGACTGGACACGCACACGGGAGTTGAAAGTGAAGACCTATGATAGGGATGTTAAGGAAGTAATTTCTTCGCACAGATAGTCAGGAAGGGAATAGGGGAGCGATGTATGGAGGCGGATCAACAAGCTGAGAGGATGATGAAGCAAGGTCAGGAAAAGTAGCGACAGTGATGGGGCCAGAGACTGGACACGCAACACGGGGACACACAAAACTGAAACACAGATGAAACAACGATTAACAATCCATCACCACAAAGCAATATAATATTTGGATAGCGATGTATGAGAGGATCATACATAGCTTAAAGAGTATATGAAGTTATTTATAGTACTAGTATCGAATAGATCCATATTATGATAACTAACTAGTGATAACATAACACAATACACAAAACTATATATATATATATATATATATATATATATATATATATATATATATATATATATATATATATAAAATATATATAATATATATATATATATTTATATATATGTATAATATATATATATATATATATATATATATATATATATATATATATATATATATATATATATATATATATATATATATATATATATATATATATATATAATGTCGTTCCGAATAGGTAAAATTGGTCAGTTAGCAAGAACTTATTTAAAATTAAGTCCTTTCTAAAATTTTCTCTCATGTGTTTAAAGATGTATTTTTTCATTTATGTTAATGTAAAAATTAATAATTCTTATCCAAAGAACCTTAGACAACTTACTTAATCTTATTATAACGAGCGCAATTTAATTTAGCCTAATCCAACTAAATGGAGTTCAGATAAGTTTTCAATAATTTTATAATAATAGTCAAACACAATGAAATATACTTTTTCGTTAGGCTCATTATGATTTTTTGCGAAATTATTGCATACACAAATTTTCGTTTACCTAATTCGGCAAATATATATATATATATATATATATATATATATATATATATATATATAAATATTATATATATATATATATTATATATATATATATATATTTATATATATATATATATATATATATATATATATATATATATATATATATATATTATTATATGCATGTTTATGCTTGTGTCTGTGCGTGTTCGTATATTTGTGATTGTAGCGATGGAGTGTCGCCTCCTCATCCTGCCTCATATCCTCCTACTTGCTGGATTTACTCCTTTCTAACTCTGTCATGCCTATTCTTAAAACTATATATGGAACATACCCTCACTTCTTTGTCATCAAAAGAATGTAAACCCAAATGGACACAAAACGGCACATTTCGTTCAATGCTTGACATTATCAAGTATACAAGAGACACGCGAAAAAATCACCTTTTAGGACAAACGAGCACCCTAAGCAAGCCCAAGTAGGGTCGCACAAAAGACCCAGGGGTTTGTTAGGAGAGGTCAAGACGGGAAGGTCATTCCAATTTCTGACTACTGTAAAGTAGAAAAAACTTCCTCATATCGTTGTGTCTCATTTGTGTTATAATTTCCATGTTCTTTTGCACCTATTTCTCACCTTTCGAACATTCTACTCTTGTCTTTGTTATGCAGTCCTCTGGGGAATTTGTTTGCCGTTTTCATGACCCCTTGTTTCTTCTATCTCCTATTATTGTTAGGTTCTGTTCTTTAAGCCTTTCTTCATAGCTCATTCCCCTTAATTCTTATTTTAGTCTCTTTGCAAACCTCTGCACTTTTTCCATTTTCTTG